CCATCAACCTAAATATGACCAATGTTCAGGTATCTCTTCCTCGTACACAAACGAATATAATCGGACCATATACGTAAATATACTTGAATCTGTATATCTCTAAACCTATATATGACCAATGTTCACGTATCTCTTCCTCGTACACAAACGAATATAATCGGGCCATATACTTAAATCTGGATCTCTTTTTCATATACCAGCGTATATAATCTGCAGAAGTTGTGACATGCAGGCATCTGTAACCTGGAAACGAGTACATTACTACTAAGTAGAGTCCATGTCTCCATGCCTCTGTTTTCATAAAACTATTAGCTCAAAGTATTCGCATAAAATCATTTAAATTTAATCTCGAATCAGTGAACACAGTCTCTTAAAAACTTTAAGAACTAACTAGGGACTAAAAAGGTCACTGAAAAGATAAGGGCTAAAAAACCTTGATGATGTTTACCATAAAGAACACTTAAGAAAGCAAACAGGACGCATTTTTTTTATTTACGATTTTAAAATATTCAATTAATTCCGCATATAAGAGAAACTATTTATGTTAAGCTTTAAGTATCTCAAAAATATTTGAATTTCCACTCATCAAAAAAGGGAACACTGCCCTCATATTCGTAAACTTTTACTTCGCCCATACTACACTGAACTCCATTACCACCACTACCTGGTCAATTCGGAAACATTTGAAAGGATTTGATACTTTCAACACAAAAAAAAACATAAAAAGGATGAAATATCCAACAAACTTTTTTAAATTTCAAATAATTTCAAATCCCTTTGCATGTCATTATAAAATATGTTAATGTGCGAGTATGTATATTGGGGTACTGTCTATGAACATTTCTTTGTCCTTCCAACCGTGTCTGGGTGTATTTGTTTGGTTGTACAGGCGTGTATCTATCAACACAGTTAGGCAAATGTAACAAAGCACAGTCTTTCCTTTCATCTTACTTACGCACATATCTACGGTACTGCACATTTGTAATGTATCTCAGGATATTTTACAAGGACCCACATTTAAAATAATATATAAAATTTAGTTGGGAGCTGCAGTAAATTCTCCAACTCCGGCGCTAAGTTTTTCATGTAAACTTTACAGAAATAAATCTAAACTCTTCCGCATTCGTTACTGATGAAAGCTTGTCAACACATTCGGTCATTTGGCAAGCGGACGACAACTGTTGTGCCATACTGGCAGAGCTCGTATCCTTTAAGTTGCACGGGTAGAGAACACTATTTTGCATTTCCCCGTACCCACATGCATTATACATGAGCAAAGTGCGTCAGTAGTCAGTACTTTCGGATTTCCGTTTCTTATTTCTACAATTTCCTGGAAGCAGCATGAGCAACAGTAGCACTTCAAGGATTTGCTAAAAATATAATACAAATAAACTAAAATAAAAAAGTGAATGCATTTTTTTATAAGGTTTTTTTTATTAAAGTACTTTATTTATTTATTTTATTATACTATATTCGGAATTATCTAATAGCTTCTAAAAAAAATAGTTTCTATATAGCTTATAGTTTATAAATAGCTTATTTTTCGGGTTAATAGTACCTGCGATAAAATAAACGCGCTGTGAGTAAATCACATTCAAAGAAATTGCAAAATACTTCCTCGAAAAATATATATTCCAATATGCTTCTTTGTAGCGCTTTGGTGCTTGATAAAAAAAAACTCCATTCTCACCATACGTGGTGGGCATTAATTGCACTTGAAATTAATGATATCGATGCACCTATCTAATATCCTATAATGCTTGCTTGGAGCCTATTTAATGTGCACCGAGCTTAGTAAGAATGAGGCGCTTAATTCCAATAGCACTTTATTACTACTTCTTCCGAAAATATTACTGTTTTATTTAAAAAATTTTATATATTCATTATTATTATAATAGGAAAGTAATTTCGTATGGGGAACCCATACATCGAACTTCGAGAATAATCCCAAGCCTTTCAAATAGTCATAAACTGTTGAATTTGATAAATTTAACCTCAATCCAATCTCACGTGTTGTTATTCCCCGGTTCATATCAACTAATACCTTAATCGTGTCTTTATCAACTTCAACCGGCATTCCCGAACGTGGTCCATCTTCGACATTAAAATTGCCGAATCGAAATTTAGCGAACCAGTTCTGGCACTGGCGTACTATCAACACACCTTCTCCATACACATCGGTCAATTTCTTTCTGGCTTGAACAGCATTTTTACCCTTTCTGTAGTAAAATAGTAAGATATATTGGAAATGCTGCTTATCGCTCTCTATATTTAAAATGGCACCAACCAAAAACTACTGCGTAGAATTAATTGGAATTTTTCACCCACAAGCCTTGCTAAATGAGCTCTCAGAGCACATAAAAATTATACGGCTTAAGTGTGAAGTTGGGTGCAAAAAAAATACAATTATGGTAAATCTTCTGTCGGGAAAAAACGAAATTTCTTTCCGAAGAACCTAATATTTATACATATTATTATAAAAAGTTCAGATAATTATTTATACACTAAATTTAAATTTATTAAATAAATTTAAAATAATTTTTTGAAACTCACACTATGAAGTCTCTAAATGAAATCGGTAATAGTTCCAATAGTTTCTTATACTAATAACTATTGTAATATATAATAATAATATAGAATAAACGTTGGCACCCGATGTGTGTGTGTAAAAACTTTTATAACCCTATTTCTAACTAAATTTTGAGTCTCTTCATAGTAATACTTAAAAAAACATAGTTGTCTCATCATTATTTCATTTTTTAATTTTATTTTTTTTTTGTGTTTTAATCCTCCACACTTTTTCATTTATCCGGATCCATTATAAATTAAAGGATTTAGAAAACGGTGTATATATATTACATTAATGCATATATATTAAATTAATTTTTTTTATTTACATTATTTGCATTTATTTTATGTGAAAATAAATTTAAAAGTATTTATTTAAATTTGTGTTTATTTTTTTTTTTTTTTGTATTTCTTGTTAACGCGCCTCCGGCTTACATGGAAAAGGATGCGTTCGCTTAAAGAACTTCTCTTTTCAATCACAAAATAGAGACCAAAAGTTTGGAAAAGTTTTTTTTTTGTGTTGTAAAATAAAATATAAAAAACTACGAAAACTAAACTTAAAACTAAAAGTTTTGTCCATTTTAAGCCAAAAATGTTTTATTGAAATAAAATACCAAATGCCAAGGGCTAAAAAAATTTTAAAGGGTTTTTAAATAACATATGCAAAAAATTGCAAGGAGCAGGAGCTTAAATATTATAAGATACATCCTTTAGAGAGCAAAATATATAGAAAATGAAAAAGATAAGATTGACAATATAGTTGAACCAATATGAATATTTTAGACGGTTTAAATATTTTAGATAAAAATTATTATACATTTATAATGAAATAAAGAAGGAGTGAACGACAGTTAACCATTTTAATACTATTCTTTTTACTCTTTCATATTTAATTTTAAACAGCAATCAAAATATAAATAAGGCAAAGTTTTAGAACTATGGATATCCCTAACTATGCGATAAAATTACTATTTTCACTGGAAATATACATATTCATTTAATCTATTTAACATCGTTGACATATAGGGCGTTGGTTTTCTAAAAATATGTTCGAAGTTTGATTTTACAATGAACAAGAGACTTATACCATTAAGTTCCCATTCTTTCGTATTAGGAGCTATGGCTTAATGACCATACTCCATAGTATTATGACAAGATTTAGGCATTAGATTTCGATCACGAGATTAAGGCATTAGATTTCGATCACAAGATTTAGGCATTAATAAGAACAGACAGTTTTATGTAACAATTTAAATTAGCTTCTCGATTTTAAAGCAACGATCCACTACCACTTTACTGCCCCGCTTTCTGGTTACACCCAATTCTTTATGCTAAGAAAAATCTGTACTCTTATATGCTTTGGATTCTTGGTCGATAAACTAAAAAAGCAATGAGATAATAAATAAAGGTTGCAACTGAATCTCTGAATCAATCTTTAATTGCTCGAGAAATGCGTTTTTAACACTATGACTTGCTCTGGTTTATAAACCAAAAATAGCACCTACCTGGAACTTATTCAGCAATGAACTCAACATTTATTCAATTGCTCTTCTTCGAAATGACTTTCCTATATTGATTGGCATACCGCCCGATATAGTCTCCACACACGCCTAGAAGATAGAATAGATTTACAGTTCATTTTTCTAAAAAAGTAAACTATATAATATGATAATGCCTAACCTAACGATTATATAAAATAATATATGTTTTGGAATGGCACAAATTGGAAAGTATCTAAACAGTAGGATTTCACAATTTTGTTATTTGCACAGTGAGTTTTAATGGCACAAATTAGAAAGTATCTAAACAGTAGGATTTCACAATTTTGATATTTGCTCAGTGAGTAAAACTTAAGCAAGAAAATTGGCGGAGAATGTAAAGATCCCAACTTAATAACATCAATTCTCAATGGCAATACCGCACCTGTTAAACTTTCTCACGTGATTAGTAAGATATTGGACCCACAGTTGAATAGATCATCTCGATTTCTTAAGCTTGTGCTTTTCTCTATGGACGCTAAGGACATAGAGGTCTATGCACAATAACTTGTAAGTTAGTTTACACAATTTTTTTCATGCTTATATATTATATTGAAGTGAATTATTGTTATATTTAATTATTAGGTGAATTCCCTAAATTATAGACAATTGACAAAATGAAAATGGTAGGCAGATATTAAAATAATTATAATATAATTATTGAGAGTAACTATAAATGTTTTTATTTATATTAATAATATAAATCGCTCCCTACATTATTTAAAAACATTTCATTAAATTATTTAATTTATGAAATTTTTATTTAGACTTCCACATTTTCTTTATTCTTTTCCGCTTATCACGGACACCAACCATTAAACCATTGCACCATTACAGTCAATCGTTGGCAACGCTACGCGCAGCTGACAATTGCAAAATGTCAAAAATAATATTGACATTTGCGTACATCAGATTTTTATCAGTAAATTTTGTGAAAATATAAATTTCGCAAATATTGAGATATAATTACTAAATAAACTATTGCGCCGCAGTAAGATTCTATTAGTTTAATTCTAATAGTGTACACTAATTTTATTCAACAAAATGCAACACAAGTACAACAACAAAGTGGACATTTGATATTCACAGCAGGCAACAAATTTGCTAGCCAATAAAGGCTCTAAACAGAAAAGCTAATCAAATTAACAAAAAAAGGCAAATATTTGAAAAATAAAGTAAAGGGAATGTGTTCTGCGAGAATGTCACATTCTAGCCAGGAAAACACAAAAGAAAGTAGTAATAGTGATGTACAAGCATTTCGAATGCCTTTTGTGCCTTCGGGACACATCGAAACGCCAGACACGCCGTGCTCAGGCGATTACTTATCTATGCAGCCTTTTATAGATTTTGAAGAAATTGCTATTAAAGAGGTTGGTTTTGGTATAGTTGATATGTTTACTGTTTTAACAGATATAAGCTTTGTTTACAAATTATATAATTGTTAAATTTCGTTCCATATAGAAATGTGGTCATGGTTCCTACGGTGTTGTGTACAAAGCTGTTTGGCGTGATCGTTATGTGGCTGTGAAGGAATTTGTTGCTACCGCTGAACAAACAGCTATAGAAAGAGAAGCAAGTTTTTTAATAATAAATTTAGAACAAAAATATTCTTACTTGATTTTTGTTTGGCAGGTCAAGCAACTATCCAGAGTATGTCATGATAATATAATAAGCTTATATGGCATATCTGCTCATAACCAATCCAAATACCTAGTTATGGAATATGCTGAAGGTGGTTGCCTGTATAACTTTCTGCACGGCAAAGTTAAACCACATTATCAGCCTGCTCACGCCATCAGTTGGGCATTACAATGTGCTAAGGTAGGATAAATCTACAAAATAAACATAAATAAATTGCTTAAAACACACAATAATATAATACAGTAAAAAAAATGTATATAATAGTAACATAAATAGTTATGATCTCATATGCCTAGACTACGCTTTGACAGAGCATTGTGTCTTTGTAGATTATTCTAGATAATGTAATAAATTATAGCTGTATAAGATTATATGTTAACTAAACACTTTAAACTAATTTTAATTAATTTTATTTTTATTTTTATTAAGGGTGTTGCTTATCTACATGCCATGCAACCAAATCCTTTGATACACCGCGACTTAAAGCCCTTAAATTTGTTATTAACTGATAAAGGTAGACATTTGAAAATATGTGATTTCGGTACAGTGGCAGATAAATCAACTATGATGACTAATAACAGGGGTAGCGCCGCTTGGATGGCACCTGAAGTGAGTATAAATAAATTTAATGGATTAAATATGGCTAAATGAACTTTTAGTATCTAAAATTTAGTTCAACGATGCGATTTATTCTGACAACACATTATCTCATATTAAAGACAGCAATCGTCTTCATTAATCATAAAACCATTAATACTTTTTGAAAAACTTTACATTTAAATAATTCGAACAGATTATCTTAAAATTATTATCTTAAAACAAGTACAGGATTAATAACTGAGTATTAAACATTGGTATTACATAATAAAACATTGTACTTTTCCTTACATATATTTACATATATATAAATATATATATATATATATATTTACACACACATTTATCCTTTTGTCTACCATTATGTATTACAAGTGGTTTAGTATTTGAATATAATGTTTTAGTTTCCTGATGATCACTTTAGACTAAAGTCGAAATATCGAAGAAAAATAAAAATTATTGAAAAATCAAATTGTGAATTCTTAATTTTTGTTTTTTATTTTTAACAACAATAAAATAAAAAAAGTTTTGACCAATTAGCCTATATAAAAATAAACACTTATTAGATTCAGCTAATAAATTCTTTAGCTAGAGTTCATATTTGATTATCAAAACTTAAAATTATCTGTTATATATAGTAATACTTATAAAATACTTATAGCTCCAGGATTTTTTTGTTAATTTCTTTACTTTATATTCTGAATTAAATTATAATGTTTTACTAAATGGATAACGAAACTTCTGCTCTAGATTATTTTGGATTTAATGGTACTAAATTTAAATGACTCAATATCCAATTTTTTAAGATAATATGTCGTTAAACCTAACAGCTGTAATAAAATCAAAGCTATATCAATTATTATACATAATCTCATATTAAGACAACTCTCCTCTCCCAATCTGAAAAGCATTAAGATACTTTAAACAATTTTAGAACCTACTTAAAACTTAATTTCAAACTTTTAGAAGTATTTTTGGAAAGGAATCTGTTTTCATCGCTAACCGTTAGCATAATAACTGATACACTAACTTCTTAATTTTCACAATTATTCAATAGCGTTAAATTAAAATTATTGTTTAAAAATTGCTTTAAAATTACAATAATTTTTCTTTTACTTATGAAATTTATATACTTACAGGTTTTTGAAGGTTCCAAATATACTGAAAAATGTGATACATTTAGTTGGGGCATCGTTTTATGGGAGGTTCTGTCAAGGAAACAACCATTTAGTGAAATCGATAACTCCCTCACTATAATGTGGAAAATACACAAAGGTATATATTCATTCTTCTTTTGGTAAATGATTTATATCCATACTCATTTATTCTCTTGTGTTTTTCTCTTTAAAGGTGAACGTCCGGAAATCAATAAAGACTGG